CTCTCTGTCTTTCTGGTGAGCCCCCACCCCCTATAACAAAAAAAAAAAAAAAAACCCTCTACCAAAAAAAAAGAAAAATTGTTTTAATAATATAACAAGCACCTGTATACTTGCCATCCAGTTTTCTTAAATCTTAACATATTATCATGTTTCCTTTGTATCATTTGTTAAAGTTATTTTATTTAACTTTATTTATTTATTTTATTTATTCCTTTATTTATTTATTTGAATTTGACCAGAGAGGGACAGAGTGAGAGAGTGAAAGAAAGAGAGAAAGAAAGTGAGAAAGCAAGCCGCCAGGACCAGGACTTGACAGCCAGCCATGTGGGAGTCCAGCAGCCTTAATCACCATGCGACCTGACAGCCCCCTTTCTATCATTTTTTTAAGGAATAAAATATAGCAACAAAAGAAACCCCTTGTGAATGCTTTTCTAATCCCAATGTCCTTAAAATAATGAAACTGAGATAATTTTAAATTGTGAAAATTAAAATTTTTTTCTTCCTAGCAATATTCCTATTATAAACACATTTAACAGAAACATTAAAAACAGTAAGTTTATGAGTTCTAATTAACTTGTAAGAACAAATTCCTATTTTGTTAATGCACTTTTCTTGGATTTCTTTGATAAACCCAATTTGCAATTGCTTTAACTTGGGGATCAGCAGATGGCATAACAATGGCCGACCAAAGTTCAAGTTCCAGACCTGGTAGCTTGACCAGGCACCTGTGTGCATGCCCAAGATCCTGGGAGGAGAATGGAAGAGAATGGATTGTGGTGTGGCCACCTCCCCTTGTGTGTGTGTTGGGGGGTGATTTCTTACTTTCCCTCTCACTGTCTCTCTCTCTTTCCAGCCAGTACAAGTGCCATAAGGCAAAAATCTCTACTAAATAAATAAATAAATAAATTGCTTTTACTTACACATAGGTATTCAAACATACTAGTTTATCTCCTAGCATATAAACCTAAGGTACATATCTACTTAAACAATGGGACTTCAGAAAACAAATTTAAAAATGTAACTAAAGTATAAGTTTCTTTTGGTGTAAAAAATTTTTAAAGTCCATTCATAGATTTTTAATAATACACATATTCTGAGAGCTTTTTGAAGGCCCTGGTATAACCAGACAGGCACAAGAGAAGGCCACAACTTATAAATCAGTGAAACAGTAAATATCAAACATTTGTTTAAATGAATGTACATTATAGGAAGACAGAGGATGAGACTGATCCTGGCATGGTGACAAAATGAGTCTAATACCCTGCAAGGAGAACTGCATAGCTATAACCTTATGACACTCTCAAATTAGGTCTACCTATGCTATGAAAAATAAGAAAATTGCAGTCTCTGTTGGGAAATGCAATAATAATATTTAGTTTTCTCTTTGTGCCTATTAGTGAACTAAATTTGTACTACAGGGCATGTGTGCTTGCCAAAGACATAGAAAGAGAAAGAGAGACAGAGAAAATAAGGAATCGACACCCCCCCCGGGGGTGGGGGGGATGGCCATGTCTCAGTTCCTTCTTCTCCATTCTTCTCTAAGGATTTTGGGCACCCACGCACATGCACCCAGGTGAGTTTTCATACACCAGGTCCAGGACTTGAACCATGGTCAACCATGTGGGAGCCCAGTGACTTAATCATTATGTCATCCAGCCCACCTGAAAAAAATATATATTTAATGTTAATGTTTAGAGTAATTTTTTCTCTTTTTTTTTCTTTTCCCTTAGGTTAATAAAACCCACTAAGGAAAATTAAGAACTTAATTTCCTGAAGCCTTAGTTTTTACAAATTGCATTACACTGAGAGAGAAGGCTCAGAGCCCATCTAGTGCATAAAGAACTGCCCAAGGCAAGTCAGCTCCATATTAACTGTGTCTTTGCCTCCAGGCAGAAAGAAAGTATCCTCACCAGGGCAGCCAAGTTCAAGGAAGGTCCTGTTAGAAACCTTATCCCCTGGGCATAGTTTATGGCTTAAAGGACAAAGTTGTTGGGAAATATCTCAGGAATTCTGTGGAGAAGGCAACTAGAATCCTTATGCTGGTATTTTTTCAATGTGTATCAAAATTACCTTTCTGAGGGATATGTACATTGTTTTACAGAAGTGGAAATAGGAGATGAATATATGACTTATAGGATCATAAGATACATGACAGATCTATTTGTACACCCACCTCTAAGCTTCTAAATAAGTAAAAGTAATGTTCAAATATGTTGAAAAAAACAAAAGGTGTCACTATTGACAAACTAAAGAAAATTAAACAAGAAGTAGCTCTGAGTACTTGAATTAATGAATTATTTAAGCAATTGAGTTTATTTCATACTTAAAGTTCAGAGGCTTACCAATATAATTTTGTCATTAATTTTGATGGTGGTTCTTTATATATTGAGATTTTTTTATAAAGTATTTCTAGCATTTTTGAGAACAGGAAATAACAATTGTAAAGCTTAACCAAGTATGAGGCAATATGTTATATGCTTCAGAAAAATTGTCTCCACTAACTTAAGAGTTTGGGACAGAGAGCTCCCACTTATAGCAAGTGTACCATGCCCTGGGATAGGCTCATTACCTGTATTATCTCCTTCCATCTTCATATCAACCTAATGAGATAAATTCTGGTATTGCACATGAAGAAATAGCAGCTTGGAGAGATAAAGTGACTTCCCCAAGATCACTTAGCCAGGAGTGTTCACCTCTCAGTCTGTGTTTCTTAACACCACAGCAAAATACCTCAAGTCCTTTGTAGGACAGCTTCCTCCTACTCCCACCCCAACCTCACCCCACCTCCCACCTCCCAATTTAGAACTCAGGCAAGATTAAAGATTGTGCAGGAACAGACTGAGGAGGTGGATAAAGAGCCCATCTGCGTTCAGCAAGAAGTCTTCATTTGAACACTGTTATCCATCCCTCTGTTCTCATTCCTGGAGAGCCCGCTCCCACTTCGTAGGCAGGACCTGAGTTGATGGGTTTTATATGGGCTACAGTCTCTTTATGATGTTCAAGGATACTCACACCTCCAATGGAAGCCAACGTGGTATATGTTTTCTTTGCCAAACAGAATAATGCCCTTATACTGGAGGACTGTGTGTAGAGTCCAAAGGTTAACATTGCATCAAAGTAGACAAGAGTTATTAAGAGCAAGGTGTCTTACAAAGATGCCATAGTAATACAGTTCTGGCTTGGTAGGTAGGTCTACAAATGGGAATCAGTCCTATTTGATGCTCAGTGTTCTGTAAAATGAGGAAATGCCACCTTTATTCTCAAATCTCTAGGCTTCCTCACCTCAAAATAAGACACCATCATTTCCTCAATCTAGAAACCTGGGAGTCACCCATGACTTAGGTTTCTCCCTAATCTTCCAAATGAAATGAAACATCAGTCCTGTGGGCTGTTTTCCCCAGACACCTATCGAATCTATTTATTTCTCTCTCCTACTGCCTCCACAAGTGTAAGCCCCCACAATCTCTCTCTGGACCATTGCAAGAGTCTCCTCATTTCTTTCTTTTTATTCCTGCTTTTTTTTTTTTTCAATCCAGTGTCATTTTTGCAGTGAAAGCAATGTACTACAAGTGTAAATAGATCATTTTATTAACCTTTTAAAAATCCTTCAATTACTTTTTACTCAGTTTGGAGTGAAATATAATATTCTCAAGAGGACCTACAAGACTTTTTATGGTTTAGCTCCTACTTTCCCTGGTTCGCTTCTTGTCCTTTTCTGTCTCTTTCCCCCTTTTACACTGTAGCCACACTGGCTTTCTTTCATTTCCTCAGTTTCTGTGCACATTTTATTCTCTCTGTCCAGGAATCACACCTCCTAAACTGTTCCCACAGCCAACTACAATCCTCAAATTAAATGTTGCTTCCTAAGGGGCATATTTCCTGATGCTCAAAATCAAATCAGATTCTCCAATACATGGTCACATAGCAACTATGCTATACTTTTATATCTTATAGTGAATATTAAGATTATATGTGCAGGGCTGGCAGGTGGCGCAGTGGCTAAGGGCACTGGGTTTCCACATGGCCAACTATGGTTCGAGTCCTGGTCTTGGTGGCTTGCTTTCTCACTCCCTACCCCTCTCGCTCTGTCCCTCTAAATAAATAAATAAATAGACAAACAAATAAATAATAACTAGAGTTCAAGAAAACAATTCTAAAAAAAAGATTATACGTGCATCTGAAAACACTTTGTTTTTAATGTCAACCTCTCCAACTAGATCATAACATTTTGTGTCCCTGTGATTAGCATATACATATAATCAATAAATGTTGCCTGAATAAATAAATGGACTGACATGAGGATAAGAAATAAAAATATTAAAAACATCAAAGGCAGAGCTCAGTACATATTATCTTTTATTTCATTTGAAGGAATAGCTACATCAACCTATTGTTTTGTATATGTAAAATCATGCTTGGTTCTATTAAAATGTGGCCCAAGTACTTACAAGGATCACAATATTTAAATAAATAATACTAGCAACCCACTGAAACTTTGATCTTTATTACTTCTTGGGGAATGGGTTGCCTAACGTTTACTCATAAAAATCTGACAATTGGGCCAGCAGGTGGTGTAGTGGTTAGGATGCTGGACTCTCATATGGTTGACAGCAGATTGAATCCCAGACCTGGCAGCTTGAAAATCATACCAGGAGCATGTGCATGCATGCCCAAAATCCCAGGAGAAAAATGAAGGAG